TGCATCTTTGGATGCATGACAAGGTATGGCTGGCCTTGCTGACTGAAGTCTGACATTGGCAGATCATGTTTATCTTGGAGTCAATAGTGACTCCAAGATCCTGTTCTGCCTCTGTGCTTTCAAGAGGGTAACTCCCCAGCCTGTATGTATGCTGTGGATTCCTTTTCCCAAGGTGCAGCACCCTGCATTTGTCTATGTTGAGCCCAATCCTATTCTCATCTGCCCACTTTTGTAGTCTGTCTAAATCTATTTGCAGCTTCTCTCTCCCTTCAAGTGTGTCCACCTCACCCCACATCTTAGTGTCATCAGCTACTTGGACAGCATGTTTTCCACCCCCTCGTCCAAGTCCCTGATGAAGATGTTAAACAGTGCGGGCCTGAGAACTGAGCCCTGGGGGGACCCCACTACTCACATCTCGCCAGCTTGAGTACAAGCTGTCCACCACTACTCTCTGGGTGCGCCCCATCAGCCAATTTTTTACCCATCCAACTGTATAGGCATCAGTGCCACAGTTGCTTAATTTATTGATGAGGGTGGGGTGAGAGACAGTGTCAAAGGCCTTCGTAAAATCTAGAAAGACTACATCCATGGTGACACCATCATCCAAGGATTTAGTTACTTGGTCATAAGGCAATCTGGTTGTTCAGGTATGATCTGCCTGATGAACCCATGCTGATTGCCCCTGAGCGTGATTTCCCCTGCTGGCCGCCCACAGATGTGCTCCTTGATGATTCTCTCCAAGATCTTCCCGAACACCGAGATGAAGCTTACAGGCCTATAGTTACTTGGGTCCTCCTTCCTCCCTTCCTTGAAAATTGGGACCACATTAGCCAGGTTCCAATTCCCCGGCACCTGGCCAGATGACCCTGAATGGTCATAAAGTCAGGCCAAGGGCTCTGCGATGATGCCTGCAAGCTACCTCAACACCCTTGAGTGGAGGGCATCTGGACCTGCAGATTTAAAAATGTCTAGCCCTTCCAGAAGATCCCTAACTACATCTGCACTGACTGAAGGCCTGACAGAGCTATCCCCGAGATTGTCCCTACCTCTGGTAGGTGGGATTTCCTGGTCCCTGTTCAAGAAAACAGAGGCCAAGAAACTTAAAAATATCAGCTTTCTTGTCTGGCGTAGCCACAGGATTACAGTTTGCATCTTGCAGGGGCCCTACGTTGC